GGCTCACAGACGTTAATGACTTGGCCAAGGTCATATGGCTAGGAAATGGCAGAGGCAGGCTTGACCATAGTCTTCCAGCCTGAAATCTTGCCCTTGAAAACCTCTCTGGACGGCCTTTCCACCTGTGGGAGAGAGGTCCATTAAATAGTTGCATTGTGTGAAAACAAAAAGAAATGTGTTTTACACATTCCCGTGTCCTTTCAAGGGACCTCTTTCCAAGGCGTTGGGAGGCAGCATTATTTACTAAATAATAATCACTAATATTTGCGCTGCCCTTGGTCCTCGTGAGGCAGTTTCATAGGTTCTCGTGTGGCCCCCCCTAAACCCGATGAGGCAGCTACTGATAGCTATCTCCTTTCATAGAGGAGGTCAGGAGAACTCGGAGGGTCTGGGTGGCTGAGGGAACAAGGTCAAAGAAACCCAGCCACCCAGGAGCAGAGCAAGGGCTTCTGTGAACATCTTTTTTTTTGGCGGAACCGGGGATTGAACTCAGGCCCTTGTGCTTGCCAGGCAAGTGCTTATTTTACTGAGCTACCTCCCCACCCCCTCGGTGAAACTAAGCAAGCTCTGGCAGCAGTGATACATAATTGTGAATCCAGCTTCTAGGGGGCTGAGGTAGGATGATGATTAGTTTGGGGCAAGCCTGGGCAATTTAGTGAGAATTTGTTTCAAAATAAAAGATAAAAAACACACACAAAAAGGACTGGGAGTGCAGTTCTAAGACCGAGTGCTTTCCTAGCATGCACAAGACCCTCGGCTTCACCCTCAGCGCTGAAAATCTTCCAAAAATAACAAAGATGATCCAGGGCCTCCGGATATAAAACCTTCCAGCAATCTAAAATTACTTAATCCATGGAAAAGCACTTAGCACACAATTCCTGGCACCTTCCAGGACTCCTATAAATGTTAACGATTATCATCTTCATCAATACGTCCTGGGAGCTAGAGTGTTTTGGCCAATGACCGCAGCCTGTCTGGGCTCTGATGGAACGATTACTCTTGCCCTGGTAATGCTGAAATAATGCTCAATCTCTCTCATCCCCGGAGAGCCATACACCGCTAGAGCTGGAAGGGGCCATGCAGATGAGCTCATCTCCTGCCGGCTCTTACAGATGGAGAAATCAAGTCCCAGAGAGGGAAAGGGGTCACAAAGCAAACCAGGGGCATTACCAAGCCACAGGTACTGTGCCTGGCCCATGCTGCCCAACATGAGGATGGGCTTTTACCTAAAAGGGTACCTAGCTTCTACAAGACAAGAAACAATCCATTTGTTTCTCTAACTGTGAACACAGCACCCCAGCCCCACATACAAACAAGTAAAGTATTATAAGCTATTAACCAGAAAACAGATCATGTGACTTAATTCCACGGCTGCTAAATGGCTTAAAATGCTTCAGTGAGTAGCCCAAGATTCATAAATTGACTCCTCAGCTCTTTTTCAAAGAATTATTAACCAGCTCCATCAAAACTGGAGCTTGAGCGATCAAGGAGAAAAAGAGCTGGTGAGAGAAATTCCTTGAAAATACACTTTTCCCACATTCTATATGACTTCCAGTCACCTCTCCCTCAGGAGTTGGAGGAAAAAGGAAAAGAACAATGTATCATTATACAAAAACTAATGATGGAAAATTACAAACTCTAACTCACAAGATAGCTCTCAAAGGAACATCACAGGGTGGTTTGTAGACCTGAAAGGGTTAGGCGGCAGATAAAGCTGAAGCATACCCTTCACTAATCTCTCCACAGGGGCGGGGATGTGTGGAGAGGCTGGCAGGGTATGGGTGTGGTTGTCTATCTGTCGCCCATTCCCGACTAATGATTTAGGGCACCTGTAATTTATGGAGTCTTGTCAGATTTCTCACCTTATTTCTCTAGCCCACTGAGTCTTTATTCTCCCAGGCATGGGACTAGCTTTTCATTCCACATGTAGATCTTGAGCAGCTTTAGCTTGAGGATTTGGGGGAGGGGAGGGATGGGGGCAGAAATGAGATTAGAGTCAGGCTTCAAACAGGAGGCTTAGAAATAGAGATCCTCTCTGCGCTGATTCTCTGGGCCTTTGTGCTTCCCAAGAGAGGGTGAAATTGAGGCCCAGTGAACAAATTTACGGGCAGCTTTTAACACTTCCCGGAATGAAAGTATTCCCCTCCTCAGGACAATTTTATCAATTCTAACTACTTTCCAACATTCCTTCCTCACACAATCCAGGCGTACGCAGGACACAGGCTTCAGAGCAAATTCTACTGAGGAGATCCAGGAAGCTCTAGCCTGGCCCTCCTTTCTAGAAAGGAAAGTCCAAGAAGAGGGATGCCACACCCTGGGCAAGTGAGGGAGGATGTGACGGCACCTCTGGAATGCACGGCCCACGCAGGTGTGTTGGCATCCACGGACTTCCTGCTTAAAAGGGCTGATAAATCAGCTCTGATAACAGCAATAAAGCTCGATCACCCAACACTCACAGAGCCGAGCCCTTGTTTCCAAGGTGTGGCCTCATCCAACTCCAAAGAGGGGATGAAATCTGAGACTGGAGGTGTCCCTAAAGCTTGTGCTATGTTTTGTAGTATAGCAGTTGTCATAGTGTGGTCCAGAGGTCCACGAAGAGTCCCAGAGGATTCGCAAGGCCAAACTCCTCTCATGATGCTAAGATATCATTTCTTGTCACCTTGTCTCACAAGTACACAATGGAGTTTTTCATAAGAGACATGACATGTGATGACATCATTGCTGATGACTACTGGAATGCATGCTTGTGTATTTGTCTTTCAAACATCTTCAGTTTTATTATTATTTTTTTATATTATTTATTTATTTATTCCTTTAGTGTGTGTGTGTGTGTGTGTGGCCAGCTCAGCCCACCAGGGGGCGGGGCTCGCTGGCATGTGATGCTGGGGGATTGAACCGCGGTCCCTGTGCTTTGCCAAGTTTGTTCCAAGTAGGTGCTTTAGACTACTAAGCCATCTCTCCAGCCCATTTTTCAGTTTTAATTCTTTTTTTATTTTTTTTAATTTTATTTATTTATTTATTTGAGAGAGAGAGAGAGAGAGAGAGAGAG